CTGGAGTATTCAGTATGGCAGGAATGTGAGTGGGTGCGGATCTACATTCCTGGACAACCTCAACTATGGCATCACCAGGATGATGATGTACCTGACCTGCCAGAGAACACTTTTCGGGAGTGGAGTCGGGTGACGCGCCAGGTGATGAGACTCAAGAACGCGATGAGCCAGGTCACCATGAGCCTGAACGCCGCCAAGCCTGGACCAGTCGAGATTGGCAGCATCAAGGATACCAACGAGTATTGACCCGCTATGAGTCCTTCTCCACCCACAATGCTCTGGATCAACCACTTGATGGCTTACACAATCCGGACTTCTCCATCCAGGTCGAAGAACTGGGAGCCTTCGTCAGCAAAACCGCGGAATGATGGATATGTTCACCTACGCCCCGCCCATGTCAGACGTTGCACATCCGTCATCTCTGCACCTTCCGCCGGTCTTCTATGGCGGCATACTTCCTGCTCAACTTGGAGATCCTTCGTCCCCGTCTTCTGAGCGGCACCGTACAGAGCGTGCAATTTCTCGTTCTCCCCGCCGCAGTGGATATTTTGGTAGACGTTAGGGAGTTGAGCACGTGATCTTCCGGATGCAAAAGATAATGTACGCCCCTCGTGGAGGGGCGTGTGTGTGCGGAGTGGCAGAAAACCCTGCCACCAAACCATTTTCTGCAGCAGGGGGTGCCAGGGGCAGAGCAAGGCTGGCATCAACGAAGACCTTTGCTCTTGCCTGTGATATCAATCTCGGACGCGAGATTGACGTACCTGCATCAGTGATTTAAAGTCCTTTTGGCCCGCTGTTTCTCTCGCTGTAAGTGCTTCTTGTTGCTTCTGTAGCGTTTTCGATTCTACCGGAAAGCCAAGCGTCTTGCGAGCCGAAACTCATCGTACTCGAGACTTATCAGTTGTACTCGAGATTCATCAGTTGTACTCGAAGGATTAGCACCCTCCCTTGGGAGAAGCGAAACGAACCCCCCCCCCCTGGAAACTCGCTGATTTCAGTCGGTAGCCAAAGTGTACTCTGACCGATGTCTGTAATGGGAAAATGAGAAGGCGACTGGTTCTGAAGACTTAGTTCCCCGTAATTTTCCCGATCGATTAATGATCAAGACATATCAAGACTATGGTTTTGAACAAGGGGTCACTGGGCAGGCTGGAGAGCAACGATCCGGTGACCTCGCGCACACCACGGAAGTTTTATTTCTGGGGAGGGACTTGCCAAAAAGAACCTGAAAGCCGCTAAAAGGGGGCTGCGCCATTCTAATTGAACCGCGTTTTCGGTTTAGATCACTGCCTGGAACGGCCCCGCAAAACCCATGGAACCTCAAGGGTTGGAGGTGCCACGAACTGACGGGAGAAGGAGCGATCCATCGCCCAGGGTTTGGCCCAGACTCAGACTGCGTGCCAACACGAAACGGGACCTCGTGTTGGGGGTGACTTTGACAGCGAAAGGGACCGGGCCTGGGACAAAATTGTGTCGGGCGCCTGGATGTGTTTTTGAAGCCACTTCCATTCAGGAGCCGCAACTTCACAGTTGTGTCCCCAGGGACCGAAACTTGTCGTGCTAGGCCAGATTGAACCTGGGTCAGAAAAGGTCAAGGCCCAAAACTGTATTGGCTTTCAAGAGCACAGAATAATTTCCTGGCTGAAGTTGTTTCCTTGAGAAACCCGAACATCTTCCCGAATCTGGAACAGACGCCAACAGGCGCCTTGAGCCTTTTATCTCAAGACAAGCACAGAGGAAACAAATCAGCAAGCTGCAGCAAGCTCCTTCAAGTTTCTCGCCCAAACCTGATACCTGTTTTTTTGGAAAGGCGTTTCTGCTACAATTTTGGGTCAAACCAGGTTCCAAACAGCCCACCATTTCCGTTTTGCCAGAAGGAAGCCACAAGGGGTTGACTTTTCCATTTTTTCTCGACCCGCCCCCCCCCCCCCCCCCGTTTCTTTTTTCTTCCTTTGTAGCCATTTGTCTGACCCCCCTGCTTTCGGCGTTCGTAGACTGTCCCAAAGCCTGAGAAAGAGTTGTTGCTTGGCACTGTAAGCTTGCTGCCGCTATCAACTCATGGCCATCCTGGGCAAATCTCGTCGTGCCTTCTGCCTGCGTGTTTTGGGCGTGTCTTTTCTGGAGGGTTTTGATGGAAAACCAAAAAACACTGTTTTGGAGGAAGGACACACCCTTTTGCCTGTGTTGCTTGACTTCCCACGGAGCCATTCGCTTTTCAACCCAAGCGAGCGGGTGGGGGTTGCCTCTATTCACTTCGAAGGTCAGAGATCCATCCGGGAATTGGCAATCAAAATGGAACAACTCTAGGGGTTGATTCCCCATTCTTTTCAACCAGCGTTCTCTTCAAAAACTAGTTGTTTCCCCTGCAGTTCTTATGGTTTTCTGAAAAGAAGGGATCCCTGGAAAGAATGGCTGGAAGTGTCCCCTAGAACCTCTCGGAAGCCGCTCAGGTGAAGCTCTCCAGCAACGTGCGCTTCGTGGTCTCCGGCGGAGCAGAAGGGGACTGCCGGGCCGCGATCGACAAGCGGACGCCAGTAGTATAAGGGGTGACCGACACTTAGTCATGCCCTGGTGAATCGGGTGTCGACTTTTTTGTCGGACCACGGCCCTCATCATTTGGCCGTGGGTCAACACCAATGGTACCATTTTGGGGTAGGTGCACCAACCATTTTAGTCTATTTTAGTTGGGAATGGGATGTTCACTGAGGTTTCGCCTTGGTTGATCCGTATCCCAAGCTTGACAATCCAAAGCTTGATGGACCTTCTCAACTTGCGCAAATTCAAGCCTCACACCTACGCTGGCTGTGCCCGCAACCCGGAGTTTGGAACACATACATCATACATCCCCAGATTTTGTTGAAATCCTAGCATCCGTCTCCTGCATCACCACTCTCGAGTTCAAGGGTTTTGCATTTCCTGCGATCACAACCGAGGCACCAAGCAAAGTGCACATAGGAGCCGTCTGCACACAAAGCGTGTTGCTACCTCGGAACAAGGTCAAAGACTATGTGCAGACCATTGAAAAAGGCCCTTCAGTGCAGCATAGTGTCATCAATATTCTTTAATTTTTTTTAAGAGACCAATGCAAAGTACCATTAAGCAGATTCAAATGAACGTCTCATTTGTCAGTCTGCCTTACACTTTGCGTGGAAAATGACAGGGGACTCACTCAAGAAAAAAAGAAGCATTTTTTGGACCGAATTTCAGGAGATCCGGGTCTGGGAGCTGAAAACGTGGCCGGCTGAGATTTGTTCGATTCGGCATGCTCACCCTGCAGCAGATTCAAAAAGCAAAGAAACCACAAACCGAAGCGTTACTTCTAGGCTTCTATGGTTCCCGACTTAGAATATGCAGGGAAAAGCCTGGATTAGCAGCTAATGGTGGGAATTATTTGTTGCCTAATTGTGAGCAAGACGCGGGCAGGCGGGGGGGGTATGCGTCACAAGGTTTGGGAACTGGTTTAAGTTTGTGTTCGGTGGTCAGCGCTTCAAAAGGTTGCACATGCCAAGAGAAGGTACGACATGTTCACAGGCAAATGGTTGTTGTTTGAACAACATGGAGCCGTTTTGTTCACAGGCCGCTTTCAGTTTTCACTAAGTCGCCTTTCAATGCTACACACAGGAGCTGCTGGCTTTCCAAGGAAACGGAAACTCGCACCTGCCGACAGAGGAGGGCTTTCAAAAATGGTTTTCAACGAGTTTCCTGGAGGGATCCGTGGCAATCGTTGGAACCAACCCACAGCCATCAGTAAGGTGGGTAGCGTGTTCTCTCCTGGGGTTGCCATGCTGGGGACAAATCCGCCGCTTACTCCGATAGCAGGGACCTCACTTAGCATGCCAAGGCAAAATTCGATCGCTTGACATCTCCCGGGGCAGGTTCGGCTGAAATCCGAATTCGGCCTTCCAGGGATGACTTGACCAGGGCCGATGCTGCAGGCGATCATTCTTCCATTCATCTGCTTCTTAGACGACCCATGAGAGACCTAGCCTGATTCTGTGGGCATCACCTTCGCCTCAGCCTGTGCACCCCTTCCCCCAATTCTCGTTTTCCCAACTCAATTTAGGAGAAACCCATGGCAGTGTATCAGGTCACGAAGTCAGGATAGATCCAGCGTCTAGCCTCAACGGTTTGGCGACCTTCGTGCAGGTTCGTTAAGGGATCCCTACTTACTTTTGGTTGGTGACTTACAAGGCAAGACATGGTGCACTCAAACATATTCGCGGCGGAAGCGGATCTTCCTGCCAGGCGGGGAGCAAGGCATCACATTTGATCCATGATTTTCCGTGTCCATGCTCGGAGAATGCAAGCGGACACCTCTGGCAATTCCGTCGCTTCCGAAGAGACACGCATTGTCTCGAGAACATAGTGGCAGCCATCCGGGCATCACTTTCGGACGAGGGGAATTTGTCGGTCAAGTATGTATACATGGCAAGATTGATTGGGGACCACTCTTGCTGGTCTTTTGTCTGCCTTTTCCCGAATCATGGCGCGCCCCACGCGTTTGTTTGAGTCTTTGACTTCTGAATTGTGTGCGTGTGTTTGGTGTGTGCGTGTGTGTTCGCGTGTTGTGCTTGGCTTGTGGCAGGAAGTCCGCCTGCCAGTGGCACCCCTTCCATCGACAGTCTGGGTAACTGACCATGTCTCAAATTCTGAGCCAGCCTTTGATTTACCAATTCGCCTTCCTTCGTAGCCACTTGGCCTCATGGCCACAGCTTTCTCGCAGCTTTGGCCCAGTTCGGGCATCCAGAGGCTGGTGCCATCCAAAGGGCACCCTTCACCAGACCTGAGCGCGGCCAGCAATCACCCCGGTGCCACCCATGCTCCCCAAAGCAAACATCCGAACCTGCAAGTCAAGAGCAAAAGCTGAGCTATACTAGCGCTAGCTGAAAGCACTGGAGCCAGGAAGCCATGTGGGCAAATGATATGCGCCGAACACACTTTCTGCCACCTCAGGAGAAGATATCTTCTTTTCAGCTTGAGTTTCATGAGAAAGTCCAGAGATTTCACCCAACCTTTCGAAGCGTGCCTCGGGCTTTGCCATGGCGCACAAGAACCTCAAGGGCGTGCGCAAGGTGAAGAAGGGCGGCCTCAAGAGCCAGTTCAAGGCTGAGAAGGAGAAGCGCCTTGGCACTCGGAATGAAACGGATGCATGCGAGACCGTGGCTTTTCCTCTCATCCTTTGCAACCTGGAGCATTTGGCTACGTTGCGGGTTTTACCAGGGCCTGTTATCAGCCTTGACTCAAAGTCTTTGGGTTGTGGCCTCTCATCCAAATTTTCAATGGGCGGCGTGAGAGTGCTGACTCGGAAGTGGCAATTTTCGGGTGGCGCTTTTCTTGACATTTTGTAAATCAACATGAAGCTTCAGGAGGAGGTGTTCCGGTCTTTCTAAATGCTTTGAATCTTGGACGTCTCAGGCACAGAGTCCGGGTCACATGCGACACCTGGCTTAAGGTCGTGGTGGCGCAAGAGTTTCCTGAGGATAACCAAAAAGGAGAGCCTCTTGTTGGTCTCTGAAAGCTCGCCACACCCAACTGGTCAGCCCGATTTCTTGTTTTGAGCTGTGTTGAGCCGTCCAACCAGGCATCGAACTGGTTTTGGCACGTGTGAAGTTTGGTCAACATGTCCGGTTTCCTGTGGTCAATTTCGGGGGGGCACAGAGGAATGCGCCAAAACTCCACAAAAACGAGGGGTGCATACGCTTTAGCTGCCATGGACAGAGGCCACTCTTCGCGCCCTTTTCTTTATTCAAAGCTTCACGACTCCAGTCGCTTAGCATTCTCCCGAGGAAGCGCAAGGAGAAGGAGCGGAGGAAGCTGAAGGTTGAGCCGCCGCTTGGATTCAACATGCTCAACTCAGCGATCTAGACCAAGAAACAGCGCGCTTCAAGAGTGGTTTAATATCCGAGCTGAATCGCCTCCAAACCTAGAAGCCTGGGCTTGTTTCCGTGTGGTTTCAAATGGCTGTCCTTAGGGCAACTTTGTTTAACATTGATCCGCAGGGTTCAGAACCAGCTTGCTTGCGATCGAAGGGGGGCGGTAAGGGCGACCCCACGAACAACAACAACTTTTTCGTGCACAAGGCTGCGCAAGCGTGTTGCGTAAACGTGTGACGCAGTTTTGGATGTCGCTGGCGAGTGTCGCTTGTGAGTTGGATGTGGGTTCAAAGGGATGGCATCGATCTCACGATTGACGCTTTGCACCTTGTTTCGTCCTGACCGAAGCACAAGGCGGGGATCGCAGAGCCGGGTACCTTTTGACGTGCTCGGGGCGTGCGGTGTGAAGTCGAGTTCGGACCTTAGGTCGCAAGAGGAGGGCCTGCGAAAGTGGCAAAAGAAGGCGGGCCGAAAAGCCGAAGAAAAGGGAAGCCATCGCTTTCCTCAAGGGGCCAACCCATTGGGCTGTACTCGGGAATGTCCAAGAGAAATGTGTTGGAATTGGAGTGATGGTGGCGATTGCCGGAGTTTCACTGAAGCGACTCAAGTGGAAAGCGGCGGGCTTCGTCCACCGCTGGCGTTGCCTTCCTGTTGCTGCCGTGTTTCAATCCTTGCCCCTTGACATGTTCATTTTGCGGAGTGCTTTGTGGGGGGTTTCTGAAAAACCCACCTGGGGTTGTATGAATACCCCGCGCCTTTACATTATGTAAGGCTTCGTCCGGAGGGGGAGGTGCATGGCGGATTGCCTGTAAAACGATAAGGAAGAAAAAAAGATAACGATTGTGTTTACTACTACTACTCCTCCTACTACTACTACTACTATTACTACGACGACTACTACTACTACTCCTGCTACTACTAGTAGTACTACTACTACTACTACCACTACTACTACTAATACTACTACTACTACTACTACGACTATCACTCACGACTACTTCTACTACTACTACTACTACCACTACTACTACTAATACTATTACTACTTCTACTACTACCACTACTATTACTAATGCTATTACTACTTCTACTACTACTACTACTACCACTACTACGACTACTACTACTGCTACTACTGCTACTACTACCACTACTACGACTACTACTACTGCTACTACTGCTACTACTACCACTACGTGTGCTACTACTTCTTCTACTGCTACTACTGCTACTACCACAACTACTATTAATACTGCTACTACTTCTACTACTACTACTACTACTACTACTTCTACTACTACTACTACCACTACTACTACTACTACTACTACTACTACGACTACTACTACTACTACTACTACTACTACTACTACTACTACTAGTCCTGCTACTACTGCTACAACAACAACAACTACTACTATTACTGCTACTAACCACTACTACTATCACAACAACAACAACAACAACAACAACAACAACAACAACTACTACTACTACTACTAATTAAAGGACCGGATAACCCCACATGCGCATTTTTTCAGTGAATGGTTCTCTGGTGGCCATGCGATAATGACTGAGTGAGTGAGTGAGTGGCCACGGGGTAGCGCTCGGTCACTAGTAGAGTGCT